TAGCAGCAGTGTCAACCAAATTCACTCTCCATCCTGATAAAGTCCATTCCCCCCTTGACCTTCTTTATTTGGGCTTCAGCCCTTGGGAGGATCAATCTGGGGTCTCATCTCTTACCTCTATAACTGCCTTCTCCAGCAGTTGCCTTCTTTGTTTTCTGAAGAGGGATTTTCCAATCATCTTTAAGGGTCATCTCAGAAAGAGTTTCTATTTGTTGAAAATCACTGGTGTTTACCAGGATGAAAGGGGAGCCTTATTTTACCATCAATTTTCATACATTTTCATATCAGCTTTTATTCGTTATTATTTATTACAACTGTACAATATTTAGGTGACAGGGAAAAAAATCTAGATATGATTCTATACTGTATCCAGAGCCAACAGATGTCAATATTCAGAGAAAAGTATTTTACTGTACTTTTAAATGGCCTTAGCTGAATTGTAGATTATGTTTTCTTTATTCTATAGTATACTCTCTTGGGTGAATGCCAAGCTTGAAGAAGGGAGTCTGAGCTTTGCTGGGATCTGTGGGTGTGTGTGAATCTCTTTGCCTTCCTGAACTGTTCCTTCTGTTTCATAAAGTTTTTGGTGCCTTTCATTCATTCAACAAATACATATAGGCACTGGAGATACAATACAAACAATACAGAATGAAATCTTCTTGTAGAGGTTACATCTACTTGTAGTTTCATTCTTACTAAATTTCTTATCTAAAAACTTACAGATTTATCCAAAGCCATACCAGCACAATCTTATCCGGTAATTCTGGATGTAGTGAAATCTTGATTCCAAGACATTTACTGACGGAGGAGTGAATCTACCAATAGCTGACAGATTTTACTGTAAGATTTTGAAATACCTGTCGGACAGTTTATTGTTAATTCATTTAAAGAAAAGAGGCTATGACTCATTAACATTTATTTAACTGAGGAAGACCCTATTTTAAGCTCTTTATGTGTATTAGCTCACAAAAATATTGGATAGTATGGACTATGTAACAGGTGAGGAAACCAGCTCAGATAAATTGTTTCATCTTTAAAGTCAGAAAGCAAAATAAATGATCAAAATATTAAAAGGCTACTGACCTGTCTGACTCCTAAGTAGTATTTGTTTCATCCTAAAATGGAGTCCAGTCTAACAGATTCTGATGGCCAAGGTGCCACTCCCCTACGCCTCCACTAGCACCTGCATAACCCTGACTTGCCCCTGAAATCTAAGTCTCAGAACCAAATAAGCCCCAAGCGTTAAGCCCGGGATACAGAAGCAGCTGTGCTGTTTCATCATACCTTTAGCTCTGCCCCCAACAACACCCCACCTGCTACATGCATATTTGTGTGGACCTTCACACTAGCATATTCCTTGCCTATGGAACACACATACCTACTACTCCTCTTCCCTCTTAATCACCATGGACATAGACTGTTTTTGTCTACTAAGTTTAACTTGGCTATTTTCTGTTGTTTTAATTTGCAATTCCATAATGACATATGATGTTGAGCATCTTTTCATATGCTTATTTTCCATTTGCATATCTTTATTGGTCAGTTATCTGTTCAGATCCATTGCCCATTTTTTGATGGCATTTATTGTGCTCTTACTGTTAAACTTTAAGAGTTCTTTGTATATTTTGGATATCAATCTTCTATCAGATGTCTGTTTTGCAAAGCTTTTCAAGCTCCAGCTTGCCTTGTCATTCTATTAACAGAGTATTTTGCAGAGAAAATTTATCTTTAATGAAGTCCAACTTACCAATATTCTCTTTCATGGATCACACTTTTGATGTTGCATCTACAAAGTCCTTGCCAAATCCAAAGTAACCTAGATCTTTTATTATGTTATCTTCTAGGAGTTTTATAATTTTGCCTTTTCGATGTAAGTCTATGATCCATTTTAAGTTAACATTAGTGAAAGATGTAAGATACGTGTCTAGATTCATTTTCTTTTGCATGTAGATGGCCAGTCATTCTAGCACCATTTGTCGAAACGATTATCCTTTCTCCATTAAATTACCTTTGCTCCTTGGTTAACAACTGGTTGACTATATTTGTGTGTATCTATTTCTGGTCTCTCTCTTTTGTTACATTGATCTATTTGTCTTTTCTTTTGCCAGTACCACACTGTCTTGATTACTGTAGCTTTATGGAAAGTACTGAAGTTGGGTAATGTCAGTCCTCTGATGTTCATCTCCTCCAATATTGTATTTTCTATTTTTGGTCTTTTGCCTTTCAATATAAACTTTAGAATCAGTTTGCTGCTATCCACAAGATAACTTGCAGGGATTTTGATTGGGATTGCATTGAACCTATAATTTGAGAAGAACTGATATCTTGATGATATTGAGTCTACCTATACTTGCGCATGAGATATCTCCTGCATTTATTTAGATCTTCTTTGATTTCTTTTATCAGTGTTTTGTAGTTTTCCTCATACAGATATTGTACATATTTTGTTAGATTTGTGCCTAAATATTTCATTTTTAGTGCTAATATAAATGGTATTGTTTTTAATTTCAAATTCCATTTTTTTCATTGCTGGTGTGTAAGAAAAATTGAATTTTGTATATTAACTTCATATCCTGCAACATTGCTATAATTGCTAATTAGTTTCAGGTTTTTTTTGTTGATTCTTTGAGATTCTTACAGAAACAATCATGTTATCTGTGATTAAGTACAGTTTTAATTCTTCCTTTCCCATCTGTATACTCTTATCTCTTTTTCTTCTCTTATTGCATTAGCTAGGACTTCCAGTGTGACATTAAACAGGAATGATAAGTGGGAGTATTCTTTCCTTATTCCTAATCTTAGCAGAAAAGCATCTAGTTGCTCAGCCTTATGATGTTAGCTGTAGGGGTTTTTTGTAGGTATTCTTTATGAAGTTTAAGGAGTTCTACCTTACTCCTAGTTTTCTCAGGGTTTTTTTTAAATCATGAATGGGTGTTGAATTCTGCCAGATGCTTTTTCTTCTCTAAATGATCATATTTTTCTTTAGCCTTTGATGTGATGGATTACACTAATTAATTTTCAAATGTTGAATCAGTCTTGTATACTTGGAATAAATTCCACTAGATTGTGGTGTATAATTCTTTTTTTTTCTTAGTTGAGGGTAGACAAATATAATCCTTTTTATACATTGTTGGACTTTATTGGTTAGTATTTTGTCAGGATTTTTACATCTATGGGCATGAAAGTATTGGTCTGTAGTTTTTCCTTTTTGTAATGTATTTGCTTGGTTTGGTACTAGGGTAATGCTGGTCTCATAGAATATTGGGAGGAATTATTCCCTCAACTTCTAATTTTCTTTGAGAGATTGTATAAAATTGGTATAAGTTCTTCATTAAATGTTTGATATAATTCACCAGTGAACCTTTCTGAGCCTGGTGTTTTCTCTTTTGGAAGGTTGTTAAACATTGATTCAATCTCTTTAATAGTTACAGTTTATGCAGATTACCTATTTATCCTTGTGTTAAGTTTTGGCAGATTGTGTCTTTAAAGGGATTATAATTCTTTTAGGTTATCAATGTTTTGGACAAAGTTGTTCATACTATTCCTTTATTATTCTTTCAATGTCCATGGGAACATTTCTGGTATTAGCAATTTGTGTCTTTTTTACCTTTTCTTAGTTAACTTGGCTAGTGGCTTATAAATTTAATTAATCTTTCAAAGAACCAACTTTTGGTTTTACTGAATTTCTCTATTGATTTACTGTTTTCAGTGTCATTGGTTTCTGCTCTAATTTTTTAATCTCTTTTCTTCTGCTTACTTTGGATTTAATTTTTTTTCTCTGGTGGCTAAGGTGGAAACTTCAATTATTGATTTTAGATTTTTTTCCTTTCTAAAATATATTCATTCAGTGCTATAAATTTCCCTTTAAGTATCCCACAACTTTGACAAATTTTCATAATATTTTAAAAAATATTTAAAAATTTCTCTTGGGAGATCTTTAACCCATGTGCTATTTAGAAGTGTATTGGGTAATCTCCAAATGTTTTAAGGTTTCCAGTTGTTTTTCTGTAACTGACGTTTAGTTTAATTCCATTGTGATCTGAGAACATGACTTAAATGATATCTATTCTTTTAAAATTTTAAAGGTATGTTTTATGTCCTAGAATGTGATCTATCTTGGTGAATGTTCCATGTGAGCTTGAGAAGAATGTGTATTCTGCTGTTTTGGATGAAATATTTTATAAATATTAATTAGATACTATTGATCGATGGTGTTGTTCAGTTCAAGTTTGTTTTTACTGACTTTGTATCTGCTGAGTCTGTCAGTTACTGATAGAGAGGTGGTGAAGTCTCCAACTATAATAGTGGATTTGTCTTTTTTCTCTTTGTGATTCTGTCAGTTTTTGCCCCATGTATTTCTGCATTTTGTTGTTAGATGCATACACATTAAGGACTGTTAAGTCTCCTTTGAGAATTGGGCCACTTATCAGTATGCAGTTCCTCCCTTCTCCTGGGAATGTTCCATGCTCTGCATCCTGCTTTGTCTGAAATTAATAGAGCTACTCCAGCTTTCATTTGTTTAGTATTATCATGATATTTCTTTCTCCATCCCTTTATTTTTATCTGTGTCTTTATAGTTCAAGTGGGTTTCTTGTAGACTGCATGTAGCTGGATCTTATTTTTTTAATCCACCCTGACAGTCTTATCTTTTTTGATTGGTGTTAGACCACTGATGTCTAAAGTGATCATTGATATAGATAAATACCTACCATATTTGTTACTGTTTTCCATATGTTTCCATTTTTGTTTCTTTTTTAGTCTTTTTTTCTGCCTTCTCTGTTTTAAATTATACATTTTATGTTACCATTTTCTCTCTTCTCGTAGCATAAAAATGACACTTCTATTTTTACTTTTTTAGTGGTTGCCCTAAAGTTTGCAATATCCAAGTTCACTCTCAAATAACACTACACTGCTTCATAGGCAGTGCAAGTTCTTTGTAACAGAGTATTTCCAATTCCTCCCTCTCATCCCTTATAACATTGCTGTCATTCATTTCACTTATTTATAAGCTGTAATCACCACATGCATTGCTGATATTTTTACTTTGAACAAACTATAATCTGTTAAATCAACTAAGAATAAAAAGATAGATTTCATTTTACTTTCATTTATTCCTTAACACTCTTCCTTTTTTGATAGATATGAGTTTTTTTGATCTGTATAATTTTCCTTTTCTCTGAAAAATTTTGATTAACATCCCTAAAGGACAAGTCTACTGGGGACCAAATTCTCTCAATTTTTATTTGTCTGAGATGTTTTTATTTCTCCTTCACCTTCAAAGAATAATTTCACTGGATACAGAATTCTAGGTTGGTGTTTTTTTACTTCAACACTTTAAAAATTTCTTTCTACCTTCTTCTTGCTTGTATGTTTCTGAAGAGAAATGTGATTTAATTCTTACCCCTGCTCCTCCATAGGTAATATGGTTGATATCTCTGGCTTTTTTCAATGTTTTCTTTTTGTCTTTGATATTCTTCCATTTGAATATGATATGCCTAGGTGTAGATTTTATGGTTTTTATCCTTCTTGATGTTCTCTGAGATTCCTAATCTATGGTTTGAAGTGTGTCACTAATTTTGGAAACTTCTCAGCCATTATTACTTCAGATACTTCCTCTGTTTCTCCCTTTCTGTTATTTCTATCACATGTATGCAACACCTTTTGTAATTATCCCACAGTTCATGGATATTCTGTTCAGTCTTTCTCATTCTTTTATCTCTTTGTATTCTCTTTTGGAAGTTCCTACTGACATTTCTTTAAGCTCATTGATTCTATTCTCAGCCATGTTCAGTCTATTGTGGAGCTCATCAAAAAATTCTTCATTTCTTTTACACTTTTTGATTTCTAGCATTCACTTTTGATTCTTTCTTAGGGTTTCCAGCTCTGTGCTTATATTACCCATCTGTTTTTGCATGTTGTCCAGTTTTTCCATTAGAGCACTTAGCATATTAACCATAGTTGTTTTAAATTATTAATCTTATAATTCCAAAATTTCTGCCATATCTGAATCTAGTTCTGATGCTTGCTTTGTGTCTTGATACTGGTGTGTGGATTTTTTTTATCTGTTTGTTTTGTTTTGATTTTTAGTATGCCTTGTAATTTTCTGTTAACTGGTAGACAACATGGGTTAAAGAAACTGAGGTAAATATACCTTTAGTGTGAGGTTTTATGTTTATCTAGCTAGGAGTAAGGATATGTATACCACTTGCTATAGCTGTGTGTGTCAGAGGCTAAATATTCTTCTGATGTTCTTGTTTTTGTCTCCCCTGCTGTCCTTGGGTTTCCCTAGAGAATTTTTTTAAAAACAGAAATATGACCTTGCTGAAGCTGGGAAGGCATCTTGATACTGTATGTGATACAAATGATGCTTTTACAAGGATTCCACATCTAGCTTTTATCTTAATATTTAAAAATCAATGTGGAGGAGGGAGGGTATAGCTCAAGTGATAGACTGCATGCTTAGCATGCACAAGGTCCTGGGTTCAATCCCCAGTACCTCCTCTAAAAATAAATAAATAAACAAACCTAACCAGCACCCCCCCAATTCCATGAATTTAAAAAGCAATGTGGAATCATCACAGAACCATGCTTCCCAAATTTTATTCCATTGAACACCAGGATGTTAAGGGGCATTCTATTTTTTTAGCCTGCTCTAATGAACCTAGGAAATGTTGCTATAGAAGACCCTGAAATATTTTGATTAAAATGATGTGAAAGACCTATGAATAGAGTTTAAAAGAGAAAGTACTTTTTAGGAGTAAAATAAAGCTGAGGGAAGGCTAAGTGGCTGTAAGGAGTTAGAGGGTTATTATTAGCTAGGTATACCACAGCTGCCTTATTGCCATGAAGTCAGAAATTGACATATTGCAGCAAGAGAGAGATGGGTTAGAAATGGACTGCCTGGTGAGGGTGTGAGATAAAAATATTAACTTATTGTGAGAGAGCACATCACCTTCAGCTTTGGATACATGATAGGAGAGGCAGAAAACCATTTAAGGATGATTTATGTGTCTTGCTGCCTGGAGCTGCCAGGAAGCTGAATCTTGGAATTTCTTTCTCACTCCAGAATCCATAATTCTATTACTGTGGACCCTAGGATGAGGAGTAGAGACTTTTTCTTAAATAGGGTCTGAGATGTACACTTCTTTCAGAATTAATCTGCTGTTATTATACATGAGTCTTATTGATGTGTTTGAATGGTGTGGAAGGAATGGGAAACATTCTATGGTTCTGTTATTTTGTCTCAGTGTTTCAGTGAGCCTTTGCCCTTGGTTTGTGACTTTCACAAGTGCTTCTCAGTTTCTTTTTTCTTTTTTAGGTGAGACAGGAAGTCTAGAAGAAGCTAGAGTTGTGTATTTTCCTCTGGTCTGTGACCTCACAAATGTTTCATACCTTTTTTCATTCCAAGGCAAGATAAGAAATGCTAGATGTGGCTGGAGTTGGAAAAAAAAAGCCTTTCCCCAGGTGGGGTAAGGCTCTGGTAGCCTTTTCCCATTCAGAGTAGGCAGCTGTCATGAAGAATGTTTTGACTGTATTTCAAAATGGTTACTCTTCCCATCCCTCTGCTATATCCATGAGGGAACACTTCTTGGCTCTTCACCTTGAGAACTGAGTGGTTTTCCTGGAGGTCAAATCCACAAAAGCTCCTATACGATTGTGACACACAGAATTTCTCACTCCTCTGATGGTCCACACTTAGCCTCCAGCAATTTACCAAAATTACCATCTAAGTATTCTTACCAGTTTATGGCTCCAGTGGAGTCTATTCTGGGTAAGCAGATCTCAACTGTGATTCTCAGTCTGTCTGTTTCTCCAGATTTTGTGGTGGTGGTTTGCCCTATAACCTTTGTTCTCTGGATCCAAGAAAAGCCAGGTATTTTCAGGCTTTTTTTTCAGCTTTTTCTTGTTGTAAGTTTGGGAGTCATGACTTCCAAGCTCTTTATATATTGCAGCTGAAACCAAATTTTGGATAGAAGACTTCATTTATGCTGTTTGATGTGTTGACAGCTATTTTTCAAGTCTCTGTATACCCCTTTAACTCTACTCCTCTACCTTGTTCAAGTACTTATCCAAATTGACCACTTGATAAGTGTTACTGTGTCACATAAAGGAAGTGACAGAAGATGGGTAATGTTGTTTGTAACTAAGAGTTATTTAACAAAAATTGTTTGAACCAGAAATTCTACTTCTAGGAGTATGCCCTAAGGAAATAGCTAAGGATGTGCAAACCAATTTCACTACAAGTTTGTCAGTCCTCTTCTATCCCTTCAATTATGGGATGATTGCAGAGAGGAAAAACACCACAGAGGGAGTGCACTGAAAGCATAGATAGAAAAACTGAGAGAAGTGATGCAGACAGCAGCAAACACAAATAACTACACAATCCACATGTTTTCAAGGTCTGTTCTCAGTATTCTGGAATTCATATCAGGTGACTGATCGTGTGGGGTAGCAGAGGGCAAAAATAATAATTGGACTGAAATAAATAAAAATACAAAAGTGAAAGGTGCCATTTACCAACAGAAATTTACTACAGGAGTGTTCATCTTGGAATTGTTTATAATAGGAAAAATAGATATAACCTAAATATATGAGTACAGGAAATTTGTTAATTATGGCAAGCTCAGGAGATGGAATTCAATGCCAATAAGAAATGGAAGTGTCCGTTTCAGAAACACCTTGTCAGCACTGTGCTTTTCACTTTTTGTCAATATGATGGGTAAAAAATAGAATACTATTATTTTGATTTGTATCTCTACATTGTACAGGAGCATATCAGTCAGGACATACAATATCGAAGAAGCAGTGACAAATGACTCCCAAAACTCAGTAACTTAAAACAACAAAAGTATATTTCTTGTTCATACCCCATATCCAGCACAGCTTGCTTGGAGCTACACTTACTAAGATTAAAGTGATGGAACAGTCACTACATGGAACATTGCTGATACCACGGACTAGGAAAACACAGATCATGACAAATCACACAGTGGCTATTAAAAATTTCTCCCCAGAACTGACAATAATCTTTCTGTTCTGTTTCACTGATTAAAGCAAGTTACATGGCCATAGCTATGTTCAAAAGGAATGGGGAAGTGCAAGACTAAGTGTCTGAAAACTTGACAACAGGAAATCTTGGTGAACAACAGTAATAATTAACCAAGGTTTCAAATCTTGTCATTGAGTTAGTTCTGCAAGTCCATCTCATTTCCTGTGGTCTGAATTATTTATTTTTACTTACTCATTTTTCTATTGGGTTATTCACTCTACTGATTTGTACTATTTCTTTGTAAATTCTGAAAACTATCCCATAGATTGCCATACATGTTCTAACTAGTGTTTCCAGTAATATGCTATCTTTTCACTTGTTTATGGTAGTTGAACAGCAGCTTTATTGAGATACAATCCATATACCATACATTTCACCAATTTAAACTGTATAATTCAATGAATTTTAATATATTCAGAATTGGGAATTCATCATCAAAATCTATTTTGAAACATTTTCATTAGCCCAGGAGTATACCCTGCAGCCCTTAGCTGTCTGATTCCATTGCCCGTACTTCCAAACCAAAGGCAACAACTAATCTACTTTCATCGCTATAAATTGGCCTGTCCTGGACATTTTATATAAATGGAATTGTATAATATGTGGTCCTTTGTTACTAGCTTCTTTCATTTACCGTGTTGTAACATGTGTCAGTACATTATTGGTTTGTTGCTGAAAATGATTCTATTACTTCATAAATATGCCACATTTTATTTACTCATTTATCAGCTGATGGACATTGGGGTTGTTTCCACTTATTGGCTATTATGAATAATGCTGCTATGAACATTTGTGTACATTTTGTGTGGATATATGTTTTCATTTCTCTTGGATATATACTTAGGAGTGGAATTGATGGAACATATGGCCACCTTTTGAATAATTACCAGACTGTTTCCTAAAACAACTACACCATTTTACATCCCTACCAGCAGGATTTCAATATCTCCATATCCTTGCCAGCACTTTTTATTATCTGTCTTTTGTATATAATCTTCCTAAAGGGTATGAAGTGGTACCTAATTGTGGTTTTGATTTTCCTGATGGCTGACAATGTTGAGCATCTTTTCATGAGCTTATTGGCCATTTTTATATCTTCTTTGGAGAAATATCTATCCAAACCCTTTGACCATTTTATAATTGGATTATTTATCTTTTTATTACTGATTTATCCTTTTATTACTGAGTTAGAACAGTTCTTTATACATTTTAGATCCAAATCCCTTACCAAATATGATTTGCAAGATTCTCTCACATTCTGTGGGTTGGCTTTTCACTTACTTGATTGTGCCTTTTGAAGCACAAAAGTTTTTAATTTTGATGAGGTCCAGCTTGTCTATTTTTCCTTCTGTTACCTGTGATTTTGGTGTCATATGTGAGAAACTACCACCTAAACCAAGGTCACATAGATTTATTTATACCTATGTTTTCTTCTAAGTTTTATACTGTTAGCTCTTATATTTAGGTCTTTAATCAGTTTTGAGTTTTACAATATGGTATGAGATAGGGAACCAAATTCATTTTTTTTGCATGTGCCTGTGCAGTTGTGTCAGCACCGTTTGTTGAAAAGACAATTCTTAACCCATTGTATGGGCCTTGCACCCTTGTCAAAACTCAATAAATATAAAGATTTGTTTCTGGACTCTCAATTCTATTCCATTGATACATGTGTGTCTACCCTTATGTCTGCACCACACAGTCCTGATACTGCAGCTTTGTAATAAGTATCAAAATCTGATCGTCTGAATCCTCAACTTTGTTCTTTTGTTTTGGCTATTCTGTATCCCTTGTATTTACATATAAAGTTTAGGAACAGCTTGTGAATTCCTTTTAAAAAGGGAGCTGTAATATGGTAGGATTGCATTGAATCTGTAGATGAATTTGGCCAGTATTGATACCTTGTCAATATTAACTTTTGCAATCCATGTACATAGGATGTTTTTCTGTTTGTTTAGTTCTTCTTTAATTTCTTTCAATGATGTTTTGTAGTTTTCAGTGTGCCAATCTTACACTTTTTTTGTTAAATTTATTTCTAAGTTTTTGTTCTTTTTAATGCTATGTAGTTGTTTTAAAATTTTCATTGTTTGTTTGCTCATTACTATTGTATAAAAATACAACCAAGTTTTGTATATTGATATTTTATCATACAAATTTGCTGAACTTCTTTATTAGTTTTAACAGTTTTTTTAGTGGATTCCTTAGGGTTTTCTATATATAACATTAATTTATCTGCAGATGTTTTGGTATTATAAATCATGTTAACAATACCAGTTACCTTTATCAATCTTTTCTTAATGCACCCATTGGTTTCTGTCTAACCAGCAACAGCATTTTCTCTCACCAAGAATGTAAGTAAAAAAATTCTCCTAGTACTTTTATGTTTCAATAGTTGCATTTAAATCTTTGAACTAATTGCAGTTTATTTTGGTAGAATATATTTTATGTTATCTTTTTCTAAATTGGTTGCCACTTTACCAAATGCCATTAATTTATTGTGGTAAAATATACATGACATGCTATTTATTACTTTAATTATTTGTAAGTGTATAATTCAATGGCATTAAATACATTCACAATGTTGTATAACCATCACTACTATTTATACCAAAGCATTTTCATCATTCCCAACAAAAACACTATACCCAACAAACAATAACTCCTCTTTTTCCCCCTCCCCTAAGCTCCTGGTAACCACTATTCTACTTTATGTCTTCATAAATTTGCCTATTCTAGATACCTCATACAAGTGGAATCCTATAATACTTGCCCTTCTTTGTCTGCCTTATTTCACTAAGCATAATGTCTTCAAAGTCAATCTATGGAATAGTAAATATCAAAATAATTCCTATGGCTAAATAAAATTCCATTTTATGTATATACCATATTTTGTGTACCCATTCATTCACCAATGGGATCTGAGGTTGTTTCCACTTTTTGGCTATTGTGAATAATAATTCTAGGACACTGGTGTACACGTATCTATTCAAGTCACTGCTTTCAATTATTTTGGGTATATAGCTAGGTGTGGAATTGCTGGGTCACATGGTAGTTCTATGTTTAACCTTGTGACAAGTTTTCAAAGTGTTTTCGACTACAGCCACGCTATTTTACATTCCCACCAGCAATGCACAAGAGTTCTAGTTTCTCCATATCCTTGTTAAAGCTTGTTATTTTACTTTAAAAAATTATAGCTATCCTAGTAGGTATAAACTCGTATCTCATTTTGATTTTGATTTGCATTTCACTAATGACTAATGATGTTTAAAATTTTTTTTCATGTACTTATTGGCCATTTGTATATCTTCTCCAAACATATGTCTGTTTAAGTCCTTTGCCCATTTTTAAATTGAGTCATTTGTTTTTTGTTGTTTAGTTTTAGGAGTCCTTAATATATTCTGGATATTAATCACTTTTAAGATCGATCTATTCCAAATATCACATTCAGTAGGTTGTCTCTTCATATTCTTGATAGTATCTTTTGGTGTACAAAAGTTCTTGATTTTTGATGAAGTCCAATTTATCTATTTTTGTTGTTGCTGTTGCCTGTGCTGTTTGGTATCATATCCCTGAAATTGTTGTCAAATCTAGTATCATGAAGTTTTCTCAAATGTTTTCTTCTGAAAGTTGTACAGTTTTAGCTCCTAAGTTTGAGTCATGGATTCATTTTGAGTTATTTTTTATATAATGGTATAAAATAAGGGCCCAACTTCATTCTTCTACATGTGGATGTCCAGTTTCCCAGCACCATTTATTGAAAACACTGTCCCTTCTCCATGGAAGGGTCCTGAAACCCTTGTGGAAGACCAACTGACTACTGATTTTCTGTTTATATGTGGGTTCTCTATTCTATTCCATGGGTCTATGTGAATGTCCTTATGCAATTATCATAGTGTTTTAACTACT